ACTGTAGCTTGTGTCAAGTTGGCCTAAAACTAGACAGCACAATCTGTGCTAGTGCAAATCATATTAGGTATCTTAAATTTTGCTTAAATATGATAGTTCATGTTTTCTTCTGATTTAAAAATAAAACATATCCTGATACTTTTGTAAGACTTAAGTTTTCACTGCTTAATTTTATCTCCAATGAGTCCGAAAAGAATAGTAAACTTGTATTCTGCTGACACCCGCTTTTGGTAATGTGTTTTCAAATGTCATCATATTGCATATGTTGCAGCATGAATAAATGTTCTGATCAGATGCACAGCCTACCAAGACAGACATTGAAGAAATAATATGGTGAATAATTCTGTAGTCAAAATTGTGGTCGATGCTATAAAAGAAAACACAGGGCATTCTAAGAGCACAGCAGAGAAAAATTACATCTACTTTAGTGCTAAAATTGGTAAATATGCAGAATTGTTCAGAGATTGAATAGTTGAGAAACACTGTAAAACATTGTAGGAGAATAAATAATATGGGGAGAATCCAAAGAAATAATTTCACAAATTCCACTTGCATTTTCAACATTTTTTCCTGTTTTTCAGTTTAATCTGTAACTGAGATATAGTCAATGGTGGAAATAACATTGAATAATAGTTATATAAAATTACCTCAAAATGTCATCTGTAAAATTTATATATACCAGGTTAAATATTGGGAAGACTATTATAGCTTCAGCTACTTCAAAGCATTTTCTGTATTCCAAGTACATTATTTTAACATATTTAATATATTTATTATATAATAATCAAATATTTTATATATTCATTTAAATGTGGTAAGTATATATGTATATATAAGTATAGATGTTTATATTTATGCCTTAACCTAAGTTAGTTTCCTATTCAGAAATATTAAATATACTCAACATATTTTTTAACCATGATCAGCATCCATTTCTAGAACTTGTTTCCCCAAACTGAAGCCCTGCAATTATTGAACAAAATTACTTATAACTGCTTTTTCTAGGCCCTTGCAATTGCCAGCCTACTTTATGTCTCTAATGAACTGACTACATTAGGTGACCAATGTAAGAATATTTGTTACTGTTATATTGTAGAATGCATCAGATTTTAATTTTTTAAGGCTAAATAGCATCCTGGTGAACATTAATACAAATTATGATCATTCATCCATCATTCAAAAAATATGGTTTATCTTCAATTTTCAGCTATTCTGAATAATGCTGCCATGGACATAGGTATACAAATGTTTTCAGATCTTTGTCTTTTGTTGTTTTAGGTACAAATGCAGAAGTGAGATTACAGGTTCACCTGGTAGTTCTATTTTTAGTTATTAAGTCCCAATTACATCATATCAAACAGGGTTGAAGGTTCCCATAATCTTATCAACACATGTCATTGAGTAATTTCTTTTTAGTGGGCATGTGTGTGTGTGTGTTGCTGTTGTTGTTTTGTTTTTGATAAAAAGCATCTGAATGAGTATGAAGTGATATCATCTGTTTTTGGTTTGTGTTTCTCTGGTGACTAATGGTGTTAAACATCTTTTACTGTGCATTAATAGTTTAGATAGCTCTTCAAAGAACTGTCTACTTGTGTGCCTTCCCAGTTTTAGAGTTTTAGTTGTTATTTGTTATCTTTATTGTTCTGAGTTTTATGTGTCTTTTATATGTCCTGGATATGTTGTCCTCTGCATCAATTATATGACCTTCAAATACTTCTTCCCATTCCATGAGTTATATTTTATTTTGAATTTGTTGGTAGATTTCTTTTTTATTTTCACAGAAGAATTTAGCTACAGCGTTGTCTATTATATTTTTGATGCCTGTGCATTTGGCTCAATATGCAAGGAGTTACTGTTAAATCCACCATTATAGAGTCTTTCTCCAAAGCTGTTTTTCTTGTGTCTTATGGGCCTTACTAGTACATTTAGATATTTAATCCAATTTAAGTGAAATGTTTTGGTGTGAAGCAGAAATAGAAGTTTATACTTTTGTATCAGTTGAAAAAACTTCATTTTTACATTGAATGATTGAAATACTTTTATCAAATATCATTTGCCCATGCATTAGAAGGCTTAGCTGTGGACTTTCTTGGCTTTTCTATTGCTCTTTCTGTCTTCATGACAGTATCATACTCCTTATTTATTTTTCTTTATTTTATTTATGTGAATATATTGTCTTCCGTCACATATTTGTATCACGTGCATTGTCAGTGACTAAGGAGGACTGATGGGAGTGTTGAGTGTCCAGGAAATGGAATTACAGATGGTTGGTAATCACTATATCAGTATTAGGAATCAAACCATAGTCATCTGGAAAAACAGTCATCAGTGCTCTAAACCTCTGAGCCATCTCTTCAGCTACAGTACCATATCATTTTGATTGCTGTAGCTTAAAAATAAGGTCAGGTCCTGTAAAATCTCAACTCCTTTCTAAGATTGTTTTAGCTACTTAAGGCCATTTGATATTCTGTTTAAATCTAAGGTTGAAGTTTCCTATTTTCATAAAAACACACTGTTAAGATTTTCATAGGTATACAATTAAAATCCTGGGTTTTTTTTTAACCACTATTGTTGATGATGATGACAATGATATATTCTGTGAAGAATCAGAAAGCTTAAGAAGGATGCACAGCCATAGTTGTGCTTACTGCTACACTGTCACCTTCATTGTCACTAAATAGTTTACCCATTTTGTCACCTGAAAGGAAACTAAATATTAATAAGTATATATTCTTCTTCCTTCCATCTTCTCCTTTTTCTCTTTCTTACAATCTCTTTGTGTTTTATTTTTCTATGCTTTGAGAATTTCATACATGTATACAATAAAATGTGATTACAGACACTCCCTGAACTCAATCTCACGCTATATAATTTAACTCATTCTCTTTTACCTCAGTGTTCAAGTCTAAAGTCTTTTGACATAAAATTTTTATTTTATTGCTATCAACTAGTTGCTTAAAAAATAGATTTTTCTTGAATTGCCCATGGCCTCCGATAATACTCTGCTTCATTTCCCTTTGGTTGTTCTGATTTTCTTGTCTGATACTGGTATATACAGCTTCATAAACTAACATGCTTATTTGGGGTACAGGCTGCAGAAATAATATGTCTGCTACTAATAGGGTTTTCTTTTCTTTTGTACCTTTCTGGCCTTTCTGGCTGCTGTGTGAAGCATCATGGCTAGTTATTCGTTTGTTATTTCTATTATATAATTAAATTACTGACTCCTTTTCCTGTTCAAAAAAAAAAGTAATATCTACAATCCTAAGCAGAATTATGGCAATCTCTTATTTATTTTCAAACAAAACATATCCAATATGTTTAAAAATATTTTGTCCCTTTAGTCTCTAGAACCTCACATCAAAGCAAATTCCTACTGAAAGATTATGGTAGAAGGGGAGTCACTGTCTTCAGCTGAGTAGTCACGGATGACTCTACTAGGCTCCAGTGGATTATTCCAAATCTGTCATTATTCAGATACTTCTGGTTAAATTCATTGGGCCACAGAATGAACTGATTAGTAAGAATCATTTCTCTTTCAGTGAGAGAAGCTGCACTGGGCATGGCTTTAATAAAAACACTGCACATATTCATGCACACAGCTCGAAAATTCAGACCGTTGCTACACAAATGTGAATGATGGAACAATAGCAATCCAGGTTCTCAGGAAACAACAGCCATATTATGTTCTCAAGAAAGGAAAATGAATGTGAATTACGAAAAATATAGAACATTTAATCACTCTGATGTTTATGTATTGTCCTCTTATTGGCGTTTTAAATAGGGAGTGTGAGTGGTAGTGCCTGTAAAGCAAGAATAATAATGACCATTGAGAATTTTGTTCTGCCCTGTGGGATTGGAGGCTGTTTGAAAGAAATGAAAGCCAATCTGCATTATAATGCAACATATCAGTAGGAAGGAATGCAGCAAAAGAATGTCTGTCCGCCTGCCATAGGACTGAGGACTCTGCGCAGGAGATGAACAAAGTGTATGATTCGAATCTAAAATGCTTGCCTACTATTTACAACAATTTGTTGTACACATAAAGTCTCTTTTCTATTAGAGAATTGTAGAGATTACACAGATTAACAATAATCAGAGTCATTATTACTTAAGTCATAGACTTTTAGTCTCTTGTTCTGTTTTCCCCAAAGAAAGTACACATAAATAGTAAAAACTACTCTTTTAAAAGACTGTTTTGATTCATTTTTTTAAAACTCAATTTACATACCTCAATTGTGTCAAATCTGGTCTTGCATTACCGTTTTCACTGCTTTTCATATGCAAGCTTTTACAGTTTCTGGCCAAATTTCTTTTATTACAACAAATATCCTAAAAGCACCTTTTATTTAGCACTTAACTATATTTGATGATAGCTGTCCATCTTGGCCATTTTTTTCTTAACAATCATGAATGTCTTCAGGTCAGTCTAGCACATTAACTGTGTTTCTATGAACATAGTGATTCTTGAATTACTGACTCTTCAAATATCTTATCAACTTCTCTGATTGTAATAATTTTAGTTAAACACACATCAAGGCTTATTATATTTAGGGCTTCTTCAGTAACTCATTCAGCCCTTATAGTAGCATGGTGAGATAGGTTTCATCATTACAAGTGCACTAGAAAAAAAATATGGAGAGAACATTTTTAAAGTGTCAAAGAAAAATGTCTAACACTACAGCAGAGGTAAGATTCGAAATCATATTGCCTTACGAAAAAGAACACTAGTCAGTTACTGCTACAGGACACTTACTCCAGAACTTGCTTCTCACATAGACCTCACCGATATAGAGACCCAGTGGAGGTGATCTGACTCACATCATTCAACTTTTTATCTTGGGAAAATGACCATTCAAAGTCCATTCACGTGTGATTTTTATTCAGATGCCCAAACTAGGGCATTATTAAGCCCTAAACAACATGCCTTTATATTATGGGGTATTATTATGGAAAACATAGAGTACTGAAAACATCTGTAAATTAAGAAATGTAATTTCCCTGCCACTAGAGGCATTGCAGGTGTGACTGCTGTGTCACATGTCTGTTAGTATGTGACACAAAGGAAAGAGCCTATGTCTATACTAAGTGTTCTGACCTATGAACATCTGAGTGTTTAGTAGCCTAACAGTCCCTGAAAGGGAGCCTGAGATGACCACCATTATAGTGCCAGGTGAGGAGAGAGTCCAAAAGGACCACCAGAACAATGCTATGTAGCCAAAAAGTCCATCAAGAAAATGATAAATATTAGTGAGGATTCAGAGGAAGAGGAATTTTTATTTATTACTGGTGAGGATGTAAACTCATGTAACCACCATGAAAATTGAAGTAGAAGTTCCTTCTGAAGCTAAAAACCTAACATCTGTATATCATTCTTGAGAATATATCAAAAGTAAATCTAAATTACTATTCCAAAAAGATATTTGTCATCCACATTTATAGCTAGAAAATGGAACAAACCTACAGATCCATCAACAGGTGAATATACAGAAAAAGAAAAAGAAAGGTACCTAAGGTATACAGGCAAAATTTAACTTTATTCAACTAGAAAGCATAAGATTATTAAATGTATAGGAAAATGTATGCATCTGGACAACATTGTGTTAAACGATGTTATATTTTGCTTTCTATTGTTATGATCACAACCAAAAGCATCTTAGGGATTAAAAGGCTTATTTTATAGTGTAGTTTATAGTCTATCAAGCTGTGAATTCATGGTAGTACACAAGGTGGGAACGTGGAAGGAAGCCAAGTCTGAAATAATTCTTCCTATTGACTCGTTCTTCGTATCTTTTTTAGTTTGCTTTCAGATATAACTCAGGACCACCTGCCCAGGAGTGGTACCACCGCCAATAGTCTGGGCCCTATTAACCAAGAAAATTTCCTGCATAGTTTCCTACAGATCAATCTGATGGATACACCTTCTCAACTGAGTCTACATATTCACAGATGACTCTAGACTGTGTCAGGTTGACAAAATACCATTAGAACAATTGACCTTTTCTCAACATTACTCACAAACATGAACTACTAAACCATAACCTTTCCTTTCTTATTGATCTACACTGTCTCATTTACTATCACATAAAGTATAACTTTAAAAGCTCCAAAATCATAAAAGTTATAGAGCCTTCAAAAGTCAAGTTCTCTTTAAAGATTCATTCTCCTTAAAAGTTTTAAGTCTATCAACTGTGGGCTCTAGTAAATGGAAAAGTAAGCTATATACTTCTTCCTCATCAAGGAGAGAACCACTGCACAGTTTAGAATCAGATTATAGCAAAACCAAATTCAAACAGTGTAAGATTTCTGAAGTTCTCTCAAAATCTTCTGAGCCTCATAGGGCTTGGGTAGCTCTATTTCTCTAGCCTTGCCCTCCCAACCACACAGACACTGACTGATAGACTCAACTCATCCTTGGTGGGGATTCCATGATCCTGACATCTACAATATGCTGAGGTTTCTACTGCTATTGATGATGCATTCACTAATGGCCTCTCCTGGCTCTCACAATGCTAAACTTCAACTTCTTTCTATGACTCCTTAAATCCTGTAATTCTCATGCAGCCAATACCAAAAGTACATAGGAAACTCTTATACACTTCCAAGTGCAGATGAGAGCATGAAATGCAACCTTGGCTACCTCTGGACCAACATTCTGTGTACTGATCCTGAGGAAAAGTTTCCAGAAGATTTCAACTCTGATTCCTGTTTCTTGTAATTACAGAAGCTTTTCAGTGTCAGAAAATAGCATCAATTGCCCAGTTTGAAGAGTTGAGGGAAGAAATGAAGGATCTTAAGGTGATGACAATCCCATACGAATACCACCAACGTCACCTAATCTGGACTCCTGGGAGGTCCCATAGACTAAGCTTCCAGCCAGAAAGCATATATAGGCTGATCTGAGGCCCATGGAACATATGTATCAAAGGACTGAATGTCTTCACTGGCCCTCGTAGGAGAGTGTAACAACCCGTTCGGGTCAGTCAACAGAGTCTCCAGCACAGGAGTGAGGATGCACGCTTCCAATTCCTGTGGTGTCCTTCACTGTATCCTGCTTACTGGAGCTCTAATATGAGGTGCCACTATGTAATGGCCAGCCTGTTTGGGTCAATCAGTCAACCAGGTCTAGGAAGAGAGAGGGTGGGGATGGAGGGGCAAGAGAGGTGAAGAATGGAGACAAGACAGAGTCTGATCAAGTCTCCTTTATTGAAAGGAAATCCTGGGTATTTATACCCTTTACCACGTGCCTTGCCCTCGTGGACAAGCACAGCTGAAGGTACTACATCATGTGCCTTGCAGCGTGGATACCATGTGCGCCTTGCAGCTGGTGGCACTAAACAGCAAAACAAGACATGTGAGAAAAACAAGATGTTTATCAGAGTGTGCTCAGCTGTTGTGGGCTGTAGAAAACAAGTCTCTTGTCAGGGTATATGGCCTGAGATGGCTGTAAAGATGATAGCCACTTTCTGCTAGGAGTCGGCTCCCAACAGGACAGGACACATCTAATTCTGTAGAGACTTGATGCCTCAGGAAAGGGGCACTCTCTCACAGGCAGAGGAAATGGGATATTGGAAAAAGAAGTCTGGGAGGGGCACCCTGGGCAACATTTTGGATGTAAATAAAATAATTTTGAAAAGAAAATGGTTTTACTTCAGTTATGTTCATCTCTTGTTAATAACAACTAATTTTAAAGACACTGCTAAATAAAACTACAAATTCATAACATAAAATATTATATGAACAACCATAATTTGGTCTTTAAGAAACTCTAACTTCTGAAACTTCTCAAATAAGCTTTCATTTCCTGCCTCTCTCTGAGCATGCTTATCTTTCAGGCTCCCACAGACCAACTTAATAAACTGTGAGATCTCAGTTTCTTTCTGCACACACTCCAAAAATACTTCCACTATACTCCCAACCACAACATAATCAGGTCTTTTAGAGCAACTGCCCACTCTATGGTATCATGAAGGGATGTAAGTGCAGGACCTTAAGGCAGGAACCTTGAGGTAAATCAGAAGTAAACCATGGAAGGGGGTTGCTACTGCTTTGTTTGCTACAGCTTGCTCAGCTTGCTGTCATATGCAACCCAGAACTCCCTGTTTAAGGATGCTATTGCACACAATAGTCCATGCCCTTTCACATCAATCATTAATCAAGAAAATGGTCCACAGACATACCTACAGAACCATCTGCTACCCTGATATAGGCATTTTTTTTTTCAGTTGAGGTCCCTTATTTCCAGATAACCAGCTTGTATCAAGTTAGAGGAAAAATTCTAACTGATACAGTCAGATTCAGAATGATATATGCCACATGATTTTTTCATATATATAACATATATTCAAATATATTTTCCTGTGTTTATGTGTATGGTGTGTATTTGTGTGTGTGTGTGTGTGTGTGTGTGTGTGTGTGTGTAAATAATGTAGTGGAAAGGGGATCATGAGAGCATGAGAAAAAAAATCTTAAAATAGGGCAAGAGGGAAGTAAGGGTGTAATATAATTACTAGGATATGAAAGCAAGAAGGAATACTATTTTGGTAGAGGAAAGGAAACAGGAAGAGTAAACAGTGGGTTTTGGAAAGGGCTCCAGGGGAGAATACGTTGAATAAAGTATGCTATGTACATAAAACAAAAACATAATGAAGCCTGTTACTTTGTATACTAGCCCCCAAAACAAAGCAAAGACGTGATTGTAATCATGTACACCTTTAGTTGAAGAACTGGGGAGGCAGAGGCAGGCAGAACTCTTTGAGTTTAAGACCACCCTGTTTTACATAGTGAATTCTAAGAGCAATTCAATGAGATACAGTCTCAAAAAGTCAAATAAGGAAACAATTTACAAATAAAAGCTCTTAAATAGCATCACTGTGTCATCATTTTACACAAGAATGTGTTGTTCAGCAAAATAAATTAAATTGTCACTTTTATAACCCATATTTACACCCACGTTCAAAGTTTATCATAAAAATAAAATATTTTGTCACAATATCATTGTAAAAAAGTATCCAAATGCTTAAAAATAATGTAACTGCAAAATGAATGACTTCTTGTTATAGCAAATTACACAGAGATGGCTTTTATGGTTTGATTATTTTATTTAAGCTGAAATTTAACAAAATAACATACAGATACATTAACTTACACACTTTCCCAAATCATGCAGTTTAAAGATAGTGATTCTCTATTAATAACAATTGTCATTTATTCTACATGTGTCCTTTCTGTAAATGCTGGCTTTTATAATGGTTTTATTTTAAATTTCATACATGAATACTGCATCTACATAATTTTCATTCTGTTCTCCATTAACTTCTCCTTTTCCCTTTCTCAATTTTGTGATCTCTTCTTTTTATTGTTACATATGCACACATGTGAGATAGCTGTTCTTGGTTGTCAACTGTACTACATCTGGAATTAAATAAGACACAAAAATGGAGGGCATACCTATGAGAGATTTTAGCTTAATTTGAAGTGTGAAGATTGGAACTAGAAGCAGTTCTAATGCAGATCTTTGATTTAGGAAGACATGCCTTTAATCCAGATCTAATCTGAGCCAGTCTTGCTGGGAGCTTTTATATGGATATGGAAGAAGGAAGCTTCTGTTCTTGCCTCTAACTCTCGCCTTGCTGCCTTGCTAGCAAGTCCATTTATATTAGAGACTACTTCAGAATTCCAGAGTATACTAAACATCCGGCATTGTGGACTAAGTAACTTATGTATTCCTGGGGTTTCTGCCCTTAGCCAGCCATTATTTGGTTGTCTGGACCACAGTTTGTAAAGCAATTTAATAAACACACACACACACACACACACACACACACACACATTCATAAATTCTGTTTATCTAGAAAACCCTAATTAATATAACATATATGTGAGTATATAAATATTTGTACACATTCATATATATCTATATAGCTTTGTTCATATGTATGAGTGCCCAGGGTAACCATGTAACCATTTGGGATTTAACAACCTATCTGGGAGTTCTTCCCTGAAGGAATCTTGTTCTTTCTTTGACTCTCTCCTGTCTCCTTGCTCTTTCTCCCCCCCCAACCCTCTCTCTCTCTCTCTCTCTCTCTCTCTCTCTCTCTCTCTCCCTCTCTCTCTCTCTCTCTGTTGCCAT